AGCAGGGAGGGCCAGTTTGTGCACTTTTAAAGGGTAGCTTTTATGGGTGATTCAAAGGGTGGATTTCTCAAAAATAATAAGAGGAGAAAGCAGGAAATATCACGTGTCTGCAGTGGGAGTCTGTCCCTGGGTGAGAGAGCATAGCTGCCCAGCCCCTGTTCGTCCTACCTTCTCCTCCCATGAGGGTCAGGCCAGGTCACAGTCCCAGGAAGGACAGCTTGGGAAGAGGCTTTTCTCCTCTCTTGATGGAATCCTTTGAAGCACAAAGGTATTTAATTTCGATGAAGTCCCAGTTATCTCTTTTATTCTTTTGTCCTTGTGCTTTGGCGCCCTATCTAAGAAGGCTTTGCCCAACTCAAGGTCATAAAGTTTAACTCTTACATTTTCAGTAAGCTTTATCATTTTAACACTTGCCTTTGGGTCTGTGATTCATTGTGAATTCATTTTTGTGTGTGGTAAAGAGGAAAGGGACCTTGTGGTGTGTATTTGGGAACCTGGGTCACCCAGGAGAGGGTTACATTTTCCATCTTCATTCTCTCTTTTTCTTCTTAAAGATCTATTTATTTATGCATACAGAACTGGGGTACAGGTCAGAGGTGCCAGGTGGTGGGAGGATTCAGAGAGAGACAGTGGGGAGCAGAACAGGCAGACTGACTGATGTACACTGCTGATGGGAGCAGTGGGTGAGACAGGAGAGGTCTGCTGCGCCATGTGGGTCAGCTCCCTGGCTGGGGATCGAACTTGTGCTGCAGTGACTGCACATAGCTTCATAGTGCTGAGACTTAACCCTGTGTGCCACCAGGGAGGACCCCTTCACACTTCTTACTAGGTGAAGTGCTATCTGTCATGTTCCTGCTTCCCATGCTCCCCTCACCCCCATCTTCTGATCTTGGGGCTTGTGAGACATCCACCCATGTCAGAACTTTCCTCACTCTGCTAGATCCACTGGTCTGACCAAGACAGGGTCGAGGGGTCTAACAGAGAGTGGGGAAGTGTGTGGGGGTGACATAAAAGACCTCAGTGGCAATCCCCTGATTCCCCACTTCTCTTTTCCTAGCTCAGGTTATGGTGGAGGCTGAATATGTTCTATTATGTTTCCAGACCTCAGACCTGCAGTCTCTCCCCTCCCCTTCCCAACAGCTTGCCCCTGTCCTCTTCACCCACATCCCATACATGAAGCCGAGGCCAGAGTGAAGGAAATAGACCTGACTTGGTTGCTGATGGCTTGGATGCAGAGGCTTCAGGGCGCCCCTCCTCCCTGCCTCGCCGCCTCGTTATCAAGCAGTTTAGAAATTGCTGCTACTGCGTCGCTTTGTCTACAGGGGGCGCTGTGCCCGAGGTCCTGGCTGTGGTGCTGACTCTGGTTTCCGAGAAGCCATGACTTTTCTGTGTGTGTGTGTGTGTGTGTGTGTGTGTGTGTGTGTGTGTGTGTGTGTGTGTGATGTGATGGCTGTACCTGAGCTCCAAGACAGCTGCTCAGAACCTTTCTACTAAAGGCAGGGCCCAGGATCCCAGCCACATGGCTGAGGGACCGCGTCCCAGAAGGGCTGTCCCAGAGGGCTGTCTCAAACACCCCTGTGGCCAGGCTTGCTACCACCTTAGTCTACAGCAGGTACATCAGTACACCCCCATCCAGTTGGGAGCTGTTAACGAGGCTCCCGGGGTTTCTCCTTAGTGCCAATCCCTTCATGACATGGTGTGTGTGGGGGTGCAGTGTGGGTGTGAGATCTGCCACGCTCTAGGCATGTGTCTGTGTGTGTGTGTTTAGTAGCTGGAGTGCGGTGGGGGTGGGGGTTGCTGGTGCTTGTTTCATTTTCAAGTGTATTCATTCAATCCCCTGTTGCTTCCTTCCACATTTTTTCTTTGTTTCCACCTGCTTCCTCGGATTTGTTTTGCTTCTGCTCCTTTTGCCTCATCCCCTGAGCTCATCACTGCTATTGCCTGTTTTTCTCTCCTAGTTTCTTTCTACTGAGGATTCCCCCAGTCTTTGCAGCTGGGGAGGATTTTGCTTCTCCTCCTCCTTCTGTGTCCGGCTCTGGCTCCCCCACCCCCTTAGATTCCAGTCCCCGCCTCCCTTTACTTGGGGGGCTTCAGGGAGGCTATCTTGGAATTTGTCTTGGTGCTGTTTGAAATATGACCAGCAGGAGGCAGTAAATGACACCACCACCCCACCACCACGCCCCACTCTCCCTTGACAGTGGTGGTCCTCTGCTTTCATTCACCTGAAGGCTCTTTCGGGATGGACAGTTTCATTCCATTTCTGTCCATTTCCCTTCTTTTTGTTTTCAAATATTTATTTATTGATGCATATAAGAACGGGGGTACAGGCCAGAAGTGCAAGGAGTGAGAGGATTCACCAGAGGCAAGAGTGGGGAGTAGAACAGGCAGATCTACTGAAATACACTCCTGAGGGGAGCAGCAGGTGAGGTAGAGAGGTCTGCTGTGCCGTGTGGGTCAGCTCCCTGTCCAGGAATCGAACTAGTGGTGCATGGGCTGCAGATGGCTTCATAGTGCTGTGCCTTAACAGTTCTGCCTCCAGGGAGAGTGCCTTTCCCGCTTGACTTTCCTCTGGTAAGTTTGATTTGAAACTTTCCTTTGCTCCAGACTTTCTTCTCTCTGGGGCTTTCCCCTCCCTCCCCCAAGCTTTGTTTCTGGTGTCCTAGTGGCACTGCAGTTATGAACTGGCTTCTTCTTATTTCTCCTCTGAAATATAGACCGTATATGTTTAATAACTCACCTTCTCTCTCCTTGCTCAAAATATGGGATATGCAGACTGTGACCCTGGGTGGAAATTAAACTTGCTTTGTGCAAAAAAAAAAAAAAATGTGCATGTTGATACCCAAGAAAATGGAATTCTTTAAAGCCATGTTTCTGAAGCTGTCATCTCACTGCCAGACCATGGAGCACAGTGACAATTTCCAATGCAGAGACCCCTTCCCAGAAGCTCATTAAGTTCTCTCCAGGCCTGTTGACTGCTTCTCTGGGGCAGAGAAAAATGTCTTTGAAAACTGTATTTTAGAACAGGGCTTCAGTCCTCTCCCTCTGATTCCTGTTAAGAGGAGTGCCTGTGAATCACTGACTTTTCAATTCAAGGCTTGTTTGTTGGGTACCTTCTATGTGGGAGACTGCAGGAGGGAGAGAACGGGGACCAGAGGAAGGAATGACAGGGCCACCTCAGGTTACTGAGAGCAGACAGGCCTGCGACAGCCCGCAGTGGGAGCCAGGGGTGGAGCTGGCCCACTTCCCAGTCCATTGTCCATCTCACTGGGTCCTGCAGGCTGTGCACTTGTAACCTGGTGGCTCCTCTCATTTGCCAGAGTGGGAAACTGAGGCTGGGAAAGGCTCCCCAGGTGCCGAGGGGCAGCCTGGTGCAGGGGGTGCCCTGGGCCCCCAGAGCAGAAGCTGCAAAGGAAGGGAGGATGGAGCGTGATGGGAAGGCATCCTGGAGGAAGTGACTGTGAGCTAAGTCTGGTAGATGAGGTCACCTTCCACTTAAATATGCCAGTGTTGGCAAAACTTCACTAGAAGGGATTAGGCCAAGAAGACATTAACAGACTCCAGTTCAAAAGCTGAGTTTGTCATCACCCTGCAATAATAAATAAAATGAATCAGAGGAGCTGAGTGAATATTGTAATAGGACTATCATGGGAGGAAAGGACAGACAGGCGGATTTATGCAAATATTACTATTTGGCAGAACACAGCAGAGTTAATGTCATTTTGAATGACTTGTTTACCCAGTGATTATGGAACAGCTCATGAATATCAGAAGGCTTATTGCATAAAAGTGCAGTTTGGGATGACTGGCATATTTTGGGACCTGGTGGTAGTCACTGCGGCAGTACAAAGAGTCAATCAATTTAAGTGATCTCCTGGGGAAAACGATGCAATAAATAGGCTGATTAATAGAGTGAAGTATTTTAGAACTCCTCCATTCCCCCTCCAAAAAAAAAAAAAAAATCACTGAGAGAAGTAATTATTGCAAAGTTGGCCTGAGAAGTTTTGGGATTTGTTTTAAATAATGTTTAATGGTAAATTACCTGTTTTCTAAATAAAGCAAACACACCACAAACAAAAATCCATGTTGACCTGGCTGTGGGAGCCGCCTCGGCCTCCAACATGCGCATTCCTGAAACGCAGCTTCACTTGCCCTCCGGCCTCCTGCCGGCCACTCTGTCCCCAGCCCCACAGCCACCTCTCCCGCCTCTTGTGATTGTTAGGACAGAGCAGAGATGAGGTCAAGGCACAGAGGAGGCTTGAACTGCGGGGACACGCTTTACCCCATTTCACCTGTGAGCCCAATGGGAGGGACATGGGTCTTACCCGCTCACCACAGCAGACACCCAGAGGAGCTTCTCCCAAGCAGGGACTGCTGATGCCCACACCTGGGGCTCCCCCCAGCTCTGGGCAGGGGCTGGGTCAACTGAAGCCTCTGCACACTGGGACCCTAAGGTGGCACCTTCCACACCCTCCCAGGCCCAGGGAGCCTGGGGAGGAAGGGATGCTGGACAGCAGCCGGTGGCCAGGGTAGAAAGCCTCCCTCTCTCTGATCCAAGGGCCTGGGGGGTGAGGGGGGAGGTTTCTGTGAGGAAGTGCACAGGGTGCTCCAACTACTTTACTTATTTTTTCCTTTATTGCACACAAATTGTATTAAAGTTCCTTTCCATTAAAGGTCTTACCCATTAGAGTATCTTTTGTCTTGGTACAGTGGAAGGCAGAACATTTAGAGCAGGTAGGCTTGGGGTCCCGGGATACCCCTCACCCCGTCCTGTAAGAGAAGGACCCTGCACCCCAGGTCTTCTCCATGAACCCAAGGCCTCCAGGCCACTCCTCCCCCAAAAGTCACTGACAAATGCTAGAGGCTCCAGAAACAGCTTCTTTATTCAAACTCAGCCATCTACCAGGGCAGGCCCCTTCCAATCCCCAGACAGCCCCGTGCTCTACACCCCCCCCACCCCACCCCAGAAAGGACACGTGACCGTGGGCCCCTGAAGGTCTGCTTCAATTTCTGAATTTGCCCACCAACGACTTGGAAGGCCAAGCTCCCAGGCCCTGCTGGTCCAGGAGGAGAGATAGCTGCTGGCGGGCATCCTGGTAGGGCCCAGCCTAGGGCAGAAAGCACATGGTGGACAGAGGGGCTGGCAGTGCGCCAGACAGGGCTGAGAAGGAGGCAGGTGCTCACCTTGGCCGCCTCGTAGGTGCTCAGGGCTAGGAGGTGGGACTTCCCAAGAGCCTGGGCGGCCTGGCGGAAAGCCCGGAGAAAGGCCGCTTTGCAGAGGCGGGAGGGTGGCCCAGGGGCCCCACTGGAGATGAAGCAGCAAGGACAGCAGGTCAGAGGAAGGGAAGGCAGGCCCGAGGGACAGGCCACTTGCCCACCTCCCTCATGCCGCGACCAACTGACAGGATCCCACGGGGAGGTTGACAGGGCAACGGCAAGTCACAGAGCTGCGGTAAGAATGCAAGCCCAGCCAGGGGTGGGGACCCCTCCCCTCGACCCTCTCCTCAGCCAGTCACCAGGCCCTCCTCACTCGTCCTTCACACGCCCAGTGGCCACATCCACAACCTCGACATCAGAGTCCCCCAGGCTCCAGTTGAGGCTCAGGCTTTGGCAGGTGCTGGGGATGGGATCAGAGGGAGCCACCAGGGGCCCCGTAAACAGGTGCAGCGTGGTGCGGCTGTAGGGAGGGGGCAGGCCCGGCCCTGGCACCCTGTCTAGGGTGGGCCGAGTGTGGATGGCCCTGTCCAGAGTCGGGGGATCGTGGCAGGGGTCAGCTGTGGGGCAGGAGGCAAAGGACATGGTGTGAGTCCTCTCTGCCCTCCTCTCCATCCCACCTGGCGCCCACCTCCCAACCTTGAGCCCTCGGGCCTAACCTAGGACCAGGCTGGTGGCGTAGAGGGGCGGCAGGAAGTGGGCCAGCAGGGCACCGCCCAGCCCCAGGACAGCCCAACGTGCCAGCTTGTCACTGGCCGACAGGCAGCCCACGTGGGTGTGCAGCAACGCCGGGGCCAGGTAGCACACAGGCTTCAGCTCCCCGAGCACGTGCGCCTGCAGGCGCAAAGCGGGACTCTGCTGGCCGCCGTCCTCCAAGGACAAGGCCTGAGGGAAGCTGGGGCAGGAGCAGGGGCGCGAGAGTCAGGGCCACTAGTATGACCCCACGCCCGACACTGCCCATCCTCAGCTCGCGAAGCCGAGGCAGCGTGGGGGTCTTGCCACATACCAGATGTCGTGGGCGGCTCCCTTGGGCGTATTGCTGATGTAGAGGTGCAGGAAGATCCGAGGCTTGAGGGCAAAGGGGGGTCCGGGCCCAGGCTGGGGGGCCAGCACGGACCGCTCCTTGCCCTTGGGGCCGCCCTGCGTGGCCAGCAGAAGCTGCCTGAACAAGAACCTGGGAAGGTGGTGGATGAGCAGCTAGGGGCCGCCGCAACCTTAGGGGGCTACAACACAGCACCCCCCGGTCTACCCCTCACCTCAGCAGGGCCCGCCGGGCCACCACCAGGGCATGGCAGTCGTGGAGCTGCCGGCCCGAGAATGCCAGCCGGCCCGCACAGCTGCTGCTGCCTGTACCCAGTGCCACCAGCTCGTAGATCTCTTTGGCATGGCCCTTGGCACCGGGGACCTCTGTGAGGGAAGGAGTGGAGAGGGCCCGGACTGAGGCACAGGTCACGCGGCCTTCCGAGCAGGGTCAGGGCCACCCCTACCTCGCTCCAGGATGACAGCGGCCACGGTGCCCTTGCAGGCCCGGTATGGTGAGTTCTCCTCCACCAGGCGGTCAAAACCAGCACTGACCACGGCCGCACAGCGCTGCTCATGGGTCAGGATGTTCTCTGCTCGTGGGGGAGAGGGTGGCGGTGGGGGCCTTCCCCTCTCCATGAGGGGCAGGTCAGAGAGGGGCTACCTACCTACACTCTGGGAGGTGGCTGGAGGCCTGTTGGGGGTCTGCAGAGGCTCTGAAAGAGACAAGGGGGTGGAGAGATGACCAGGAGCTTGGGGAAGACAAGGTCCACAGGAGGATGAAGAGGAACATCCCCCAGAAACTACCTGTGCCCAGGTGGTGGTCTTCAGAACACACCAGGACAGGGTTCGGCCCACGTCCCCCACCCCAGCCCCCCCTGCTGGCAAGTCTTGCTGGCCAGATGGTCTCTGTTGCACTCAGTTTGAGTTGGGGTAAATCTGCCCCTCTTACCTGGGCTCTCTAGCTGACTCCTGACGTAGCAGAGGGCAGAGAGAGCAGCCTTCTGCTTGGCTTCTATCTTGCTGTTGGCTGTGCCCGTGGGGCAGATGACCCCATCCAGTTCAGCATACACAGAGAACGGGAAGGCAGGGTCTGGGGAGGAGGGGCGGTGAGGTAGCTCCCGCACTCTGTCCCCACCTTATGCCAGGGGCCCTTTCTAGAGAGAGCCAACATCTAGCCCTTGATACAGTGACTAGCACCTAGAGATCATTCCTGTAGCTGTCACACACCATGCCACTGTTCCCTTTGCCGTAAGTCACACCAGGGTCAAGTACTGCACAGCGAGGAACTACCCCTATAAGCCAGAGCCCACCACAACCACTCCAACTATCCAACTGTAAGCCTATTCAGCATGCCAACCTGCCCTTGCTTTGTCCTGACTAGGGAAACCTCAGTAAAGGCTCTGGACCGCACTCTCCCTTCCTTTCTGTGTCTCCACCCTCCCTGGTCCTTCCCCGGTGGCCCTGCCTCCTGTCGCTGGGGATCTGTGAGTATAGACTCTATTTTTTCTTGACAATCCCCTCCACCAGAGCTGACTGAAACAGACTGAGGACATTTTTAATACCTTCTCTCTTTTGAACCAATCCTCTAGGGCACTCTTGGGTAATTTTACACAGGCTTCCACCTGTGTAATGATTGGAAATGATTCTCTTGCTGTCTCTATGGAGGTGATCACTGGTCTGGCTTAAGGCAGGGAACCCTGATTTATATTCTGGTGTATTGCTGAGTGTGTGTCAGTGGTGAGGGGATGGAGTGAGAAAGAGAGGATGCAGTAAAGATGATGACCTATGTAATGGGCTATCATCAAATTATCAAAACATCTGAATTCAGGGCTGGTCCTTGCTGGGTATCTCCAACAGGCATGTGGCTATAAGTGCATGTAACTGGACATCAAAATGAGCGAGCAGGTTCAGAAAGGTCGGATGACCTGTTCTAAGAGTTAAGACAAGGGTGATGTTCCCAACTGCTATACAGAAACAGCTTGCAGACATCAATGGTAATGATTTTCCACCCTCGTAGATACTGTGAAGAGGACTGATACTTTGTAGAGAAGAACACAGGGGCCTTAGCAGGAGGGTATCTAAAAACACAGAGATAGGACCAGCTCTCTGCAAGTTGGGGAGGTCTCCTTCCCTTCCGAGGAATTCATGATCCTGGGGAAAGGGGAGCCCCTTTCTAGCCAACCTAACAAAGCAGATCTATTTTGCAACTGCCTGATCTGCAAAAGGCAATGTTCCAACTTACACCAAAGAGGTCAAATTGTATATATTCAAGGAGGTGTGGGTGGAGGTTATACTTGCAGGCTGGGTAGCCTGAAGCCTGTCTTTTTTTTTTTTTTTTTTAAAGATTTATTTATCTGTGCATACGGAACTGGGGTGCAGGCCAGAGGCTCAGGGGCGGTGAGAGGCTTCACCAGAGACAGAGTGGGGAGCAGAACAGGCAGATCTAGGAAGCACACTGCTGAGGGGAGCAGCTGGCGGGTCAGGAGAGGTCTGCCACGCCATGTGGTCACCTCCGGGGCAGGCGGGAATCGAACTCATACGGAAGTGGCTTTAGATTCTCAGTGCTGTGCTTTAACCCGCTGCACCACCAGGAAGGGCCTGGAGCCTGTCTTTTAATGGCCCCTCGCTTCAGGTGGGGAGGGCTCTGACCTTGTCATGACTGCAGCTGACCTCCAGCACCACAGGGGTCGACCTCAAACCCCACAGCCAGGTCCAGACACAATCCCCCTTGCGTGGTCTGGCACCAGCCTCCCGAGCCCAGCCTCACCTGTCATCTGGTCCTCCCGGAAGATCAGGGAGACACCCAGACTGGCAGCATACTGCACCAGCAAGGCTTCCGCCTGGCCCGGGGGTGGGTCTCTGAGTTGCAGGCTCTGCCCTCGGCCTTCTTTCTCCTCTTTCTTGTCCTCCCCCTCCTGGAAGTCTCCCAACAGCCCTGCAGACAGGACAGAGACAGTTCGGGACCTCCCCACCCCTATGCCTGTGTCTTCCTGTTCCCAGGGCGCCCCCAGTTCCTGATACCGATCCCCACCCCAGGCCCACCATCCCCCGCCGCCAAAGCCTGAGGCTGCGCCTTCCCGCCGCGGTCCTCCGCTCTTGGGGTGGACACCGGCTCCCAGGGCTCTTGGCCCACACTGGCCGAGGGCTTCCAGGGACTGATCTGTAGCGAGGCTGCGAGGCGGGGCTTCCTGCGGCAGTTGTCCTCTGTACTTGGGGCTGCGCTGGCCGAAGAAGCCATGGCCACAAGTGAGGCCGCGGGAGACGGTGGGTCAGATCTCGCGGGACCTGCGCCTCTTTCCGCGTGGAACACTCCCACGTGGGAAGCACGAGGCACTGGCTCTAGCTCATGGTGAGCTCCACCCCTATCTCACTCTTGGCCAATGAGAATCCCACAAAGCTGTGGCTGACACCATGCCCAGCCAATAGAAAGACCAGAAAGGCCAGCTCTCCCCTCTCCCTACGCCCCCCCACCTGGGGCAGCCAGGTATGGACTTTTGGGATGAGTGGCTGCAGGGCTAGCACCGCATTTCCTGGGCGGGGACTTCGGATCTGGTGTGGGGGTAGGAGGAAATGGGGGTGCCTCTTTACCTGCAGGTGGTCTAGGTTCTTGGGGACACAATGACCAGGGAAAGGCTCCTAGAGCCCAACTCTATGCCAGGACCTGGCTCCTGTCCTGGGAAGTCACCCAATCACCCCCATGTCACCAGCCCACCTGCCCCTGCCACTTAACTGAGTCTGGGAGCCCTCAGCGCATAAATGGAGGTGTTGTCTGTTGTAGCAGGCCCCCTTCATCTGTTCCCGTCTCCCAGCTGCTTTAAAGCCAAACATGAGGGGGCACCCTACCTTTTGTCTTTTTCCAGAAAGAATTTTGAGTTGGTTCGTAAAAGTACTACAACACAGAAATTCTTTAAGATGAAGGGTTAGTAGTGAAGGAGAAATAAAAATAAGACAAAGTTAGGCCCTGCCTCGTGGAGCAAGGGTTTAAGTGAGACTTAAGCATTAAGCTATCAGCAGCCACTGTGGCCTTAGTTCAATCCCAGGTCAGGGAGCTGACCCACATGGCCCAGCAGACCTGTCTTGTACTGCCCTGCTGCTCCCCTCAGCAATCTACTTCATCTATCTGCCTGTTCTGCTCCCCCCACTCTGTCTCTGGTGAATCCTTCTCCTCCACTGTCGCACTTCTGGCCTCCACCCTAGTTCTTGTATGCACACAAGAAAAAAATAAGTCTTAAAAAAAAAAAAGACAAAGTTAAAGATGAGGACAATTTACCGAGGGCCAGCTGTGATGCAGCATGTAACTACTTGAAGAGGGTTGCAAATTAAGGCTCAATTAACTCGATCTCACAGGAGCTGAGGGCTGGATAAGAAGACATTAATCACCGCTGCCATTGTCGCTGCGGTTGCTGCTGCTGCCCACCGTTGGGGCTGACTGTGCCAGCCAGGGCGGCGGCTGGTGGCGGTGTGGACCAGGGGGCTTGGGAGGAGCAGAGGCAGATTCAGCTTCCTGTCACAACGTTTCAAATATTGGCATCAGCAAAAGTGATTCTGGTGTTTTCGTGTGTATACCAGGAGCGAATGAGACTCCTAGGGTAGAAAGGACAGCACGGGTGTCCACAACTGGAATGAGGGCCGCCCATATCCACAGACTTGGACGAGTGGCCCCTTACAGAAAACTCATTATGAAAGGTGTGAATGAAAGGTGACATGTTCATACCATGAACTCTAACGCAGTCATTAAAAAAAGAAGCAACTGCTGTTTCTCACCAACACAGGCAAAGCTCATGGGCACTGTGAATAAAGAAGCCAGACGGACTACGGCATCCCAGGTGATGCTGACACTGGGTAGAATTTAAAAACCACCTGGGCTCACTGTTGGAACTTGATGGAATTTGCTTCTATCAATACGGCTCTTCTTCCACCGCTATTCCCCCTCCTCCCGGGAGGTGGCGCTCTAGAATACCCGCATGGCCAGGAGGGAAGGCGGAACTTCCTGTCTTCGTGAGAATGCTTCCGGTCGTGTCCGGAAGACCGTTAATCGCTGCTGTGAAGCTTCCCATCCGGCGCGGAGCTCAGGTGGTGCTTTCAAGTTCTCTCGTGGCGCAAGGGTCAGGCGAGCGTCACGCCGAGGTCAGTTGCCCAGACGGGCAAGTCGAGGCCCGGGTCACGTAAGTGCGGACGGAGGCGAGAAGGGGCTCCCTGCGCGAGGGCCAGGCGGTGTAGCGGAGACACGTCGTCCCGCGGCCGACAAGGCGGCTGCAACAGCCCCTCTTTCGGCGTGAAGAAGCCCCCGCAAATGCATAGCACCGCCTGCCGCCTCGCACTGGATGGGAGGCCTCTGCTGTGGGCGGCGTGAAAAGTGGGTGGGGAGGACGTGACCCGGTGGCCAGGTGGAGAAGGGACCGTCCGATCCCTGCTCCCGTCCCCTGCGACGCGCTCACCTTTGCATCCCGCCTGGCCTGGACGCGGGCCGCGCGCACTGTCCAGCCCTGGAGTCTGAGGGGCCTGCAGAGCCTAGAGCCAGCGCGCTTTTCCTCCCAGGCTGCCCCACGTGAGGCCTTGCGCAGGTGTTGGGTTCCTCCAGGCCCTCAGCCCGCGGGGTGGGCTTGAGGCCAGTGGTTCCTTTCTCCTCTCATTCATGTGTTCATTTCTAGCTTTGACTTTCCAGTGTGCCTGAACCGTTTGCTAGGGTGGGGTAGATGCCAAGACACCGGGGGGGTGGAGAAGGGCCCTTTCTTCTGAGGACTGTTGATTAGTTCTCAGTAAGAACTTCTTAGAGAAGTTCTTAGTGAGACACTTTAATTTTAAACTATGTAATCATACGCTGTAATGCTGCCTTGGGAGGGGCAAGTGTTGGGGGAGAGGGGGTGGGGGACTGGGAGAAACTTGCCTGGCTCAGGACCTGAAGGATGAATAGGATCCTGTGCGTGTTTGGGGAGCGATTTGCCCTCATTCTAAAGCAGAGAGATGTGCAAGGTCCCTGCGGTGGAAAAAAAGCACAATGAGAAAGAACCCAAAGGGGATCGGTATGGTTGGAGCCCAGGCGCAGAGCTGAGCGGTGTGTGAGAGGGAGCCCGCCCCTCTGGGAGGCTTGGGTGCCCCTCCGATGGCATTTTTGCAGGGACTTGCAGAGTGCCTCCCTGACTCCTGCCTCTGTTCTCCCCTGTTACGGGAAAGAGAACAGCCACAGCAGCCAGACCCTGGCAACACGGAGTGACTGAGTGGCCCTTGGAGAGTGCGCAGGCTAGTGGAAGAGATGAGACGAAGGAACCGTAGGCAGAATGGGGTTGACTTGCCCTGAGACACATACAGCCATTCATTTGACACGTATTTAGCCATCACCATGTGGTGGGCAGTTGGCTTGGGGCTGAGGTTACATGGCTGTCCAGAGGTGGCTTCCCAGGGAAAAGGGCTGTGTTTCCTATGAACGCTGGAGTTTGCCATGGGGTGCACCAGAGACCAGGGTTCAGAAGTCAGGTTTTGGGTAGCATGGGAGCTCTGGGCTGTGAGCAAGTTATTCATTCCTGGTGTCTCTTTCCTAAACTCCACAGCCAGGGAGAATAGAGCCTGTGGCTTTTGATTTGCTGATCTCTGTCAAGTTGCTATTGTTGCTGTGGTTAATTAAAATAAGAGGTGAGTGGGTACTTTGTATTTACTTTTGGTTTCCTTCATTTGGGGAAAGGTAGGTAAGACTCAGCCCATTTTAGGAGAACTGAATTTTCATCTTAGGCATGAAGCCTAGGGTGTAAGGAGTATAGTTTGGATGCGATTATAATACATGAGACCTGTGACAGAAGCTGATCCTTCACCGCCTGTCAGATTCCACCCCGTACCCCTCTCCTCCTTGTTCATTCTCTGCCTGGAGCCCTCCTGCCAGCTGTCTGCTTAGTTCTCTCTCTCTCTGCCTTCAGCTGTGCCAAGTGCCACCCTCTCTGCGAGGCTGTCCAGGCCACCGTTGCTGAAACCATACCTCAGTGCCTCTCCAGCTCTGTCTTGGCTTGAATATAGCATTGATTAACTGGTATTGGGCTACATATTTGTTTGTGACTTATTATTTACTTCCCCAAAAGAAGTATGCCACCTCAGGGCACTTTTCATTCTCTCCAGGCACCCCGGCTGCCACTGGCAGACCCAAGTTTTGCCATCAGGACGGTGTGACATGATTCTTGCTGTCCACAATGGACTTCCCCAGCTGCCTCCAGCCCACGCTGTTTCTGTCCGGCCCTCTCGGTCTGAGCGGTGTCCCTGATTTGTCCTTTATGTGCAGCTGGAGAGACCCGCTCTCCCTGTCAGAGTCCCCGTCCCACACCTCCGAGGTGAGAGAGTGGGGAGAGCCCTGGCTGCTTCAGGGTGGCCCCTTATGTTTGGCGCCTCTCCTTCTGTGGCGTCCATACCAGTCAGCATGGTGTGGGGGTGGGTAGCAGAAATCTGTGAAGACACAGGCTGAGTGAAAACGTGCACTTCTTGTAGTGGGGTTGGGAGTGTGCCCCAGGACACTGTTCTGATGTTGTCTTGGCTGTTTCTTCAGAGCAGGGTGCCCCACTTGCCCAAGAACCTGCTGTGGGAGCCAGAGATGCCTGGGCCCCTTCCCTTGCTGCCCCCTGGTCCTGGTAAGACTTTCGTTCCGCGAGGCTCCCTCCTTGCAAACCTTTAGCTCTCCTCCCCCCGGAAGCCTCCCGCCCCTGCTGATACCCTGCCCTCCAGCCCCAGTGTCCTTGGGTTACTCCAGGCAGCTGGAGCGCCTGGTCCTACTTCTGGCCTCTCCTGGCCCTGGGACAAGCCCATCCCTTCTCTCTCCCCCCCTTCAGATCGCTGGGATCCAGGCATATCTGTGCGGGACCTGCTTTTCCGGGAAGGCTCTCGTTACCGGCGGGAGCCCCGGGCAGTGCTGGATGTTACCGAACAGGTGAGTGGCCCTCCAGCCGTGGTGCCCTGGGCCTGGGCCTGCACGCAGTGACCTGGCCTCTCTCCTCCCCAGCTGAGTCGCTTCCTCTGGGACCATGGGGACATAGCCTTTGCGCCCCTGGGAAAGCTGATGCTGGAGAATTTCAAGCTAGAAGGAACACGGGTGAGTGATGCCTGCCGGCCAAGGGAAGGCTCCCCACTCTTTGGGGGTGAGCCCTAGATGAGCTTGACGAGGCCTTTCCACGCAGAGCCGCTCTAAGACGAAGACAGTGGTCAGTGTGCAGAAGATACTCCAGGACCTCGGTGGACACCAGCCATGGGGGCAAGTGCTAGTAAGGGAGGATGGGCAGGGCAGCCTAACCTGTGGGGGTGAAGAAGGAGCCAAGCATGGATCCCCACCTTGCATTGGCAAAGCTGTGCTTCCCTAGACGCAGTGCCAAACTGCACTAGCCTAAAAGAAGAGGTACCTTTGGGATCTCCAAGTTGAGGCACCCAGATTTTTAAATAACCTTAGTATTACCTCTGCCTGGCACGGTTCCTTGATAGGGAGCTTGTTTCCAGGTCTGTTTTCCAAACCAACAGGATGGCTTACGGCTCCTAGGATAGAGCCCAGGTTCTTCCTGGGGTCCAGGGGAAGTCCCGGAAGGGTGGGCCAGTCATGCTCTCCTGTGGGGGACCATGGCACCAAGGCTGCTCCTGGCTGGGGGTGGGGGCCGCGGTGTCCCACGGAAAGACATTCTGTTAGATAAAAGCCCACACTCGCTGTGCTGCCTCCGTGGGCTGCTATTGGTCCTCCCCACACCATGCCACTGCCTCACCTGCTGCTGTTCTTGCCCTCAGGTGTCCCTGGGCTTTCCTGAGCAGCCGCCAGCGTAGGTTCTCGATCTTTGCGGGTGAGATCCTGGGCAGGTCGGTGACCACCCTCCTGGGGGAGTTGCTGCACGAGGAACTGGCCATGCGCTGGGGCCAGCTGCTGCTCAACGATGCTTTCACGGGGGGTGCGCTGGCCTGGCTGCCTGGAAGGACACCCCATGTTGGGCAGCTGGTCTACCCTTCGGGCAGCGCCCTAGACAGATTATGTATCCTTGGTCTGGGCTGCTCCTCAGCCACGTCCTCTGGTGGAGGGAATCTGGTTTTGTTTCAGGGACTTAACAGTGACCAGAGCTCACATGCTTATCCTTAACTAGATGCCCAGCTTTCCAGGAGGTCCATCTGACCCAAGGAGGTGACACCCAGGTCCTTGGTGACCCTGGCCACATCCAGCTCCGGGGACCTGTGCGGCAGGTAGTGACCCGCACCGTGCAGGGAGAATGTAAGGCCTGTGACACCTCCTGCCACCGATGACAGCCCTGCTGCCTGACCTGGACCCTGACCCTGACCCTGACCCTGACCCTGACCCACTGCCTCTCCTCAGCTCTGCTGGCGGTTCGCTCTGACTACCACTGTGCCCTCTGGAAGGTCAGTAAGCAGGGGCGGCCGGCCCCTGTCCAGGTGCTGCAGGTCAAGAAGGGGGCCACCGGGATCAATCTGAGGTACAGGGGTTGAGGGGGCTGGCCTGCAGGGAGGTGGGTGGGGGAGAAGGACTCGTGCCCAGTGTAGACACACTTGTGCCCTGTAGCCCTCACCTTCCTGGGGAGCTGGCCGTCTGCAGCCGTTCGGGAGCCGTCTGTCTGTGGACCCCCCAGGATGGGTAATGTCCCTTCCCTACAAAAAAGCCTTCACCCAGCCACCCCCCCCCCCCCCCCGAACTTCAGCCCTGCTTCTGAAACACATCCTGCACCCTCGGCCGGGCGACCCCATCTCTCACCCCCCTCAACCTGTCATGTGCCCACAACTGACCTTTGCTCCCCAAGGCTACAGCAAGTCTACAAGGACCCTGACACCCTTGTGTTCCGGGACCCATCTCCCTGGCGCTGGGCAGACTTCACCGCCCACCCGCGGGTGCTGACTGTAGGCGACCGCACTGGTGTGAAGATCGTCGACACCCAGGTGGGGGCGGGACTGCCATGGCGCCGGGGAGGGAGGAGCAGGCCCGGAGTGGGTGGGGTGGGAGTCCCGCGCGCCCGAACAGCAGCCAAGCCGGTGAATCTGAGCTCCTGGCAGAGGCTGTGCGGCAGACGTGGGCCTCAGGAGGGCTGGCCCTTTCTTCCCCAGGGCCCTCCGGGCTGCGGGCTGCTGCTCTTCCGGGGCGGGGCAGAGGCGTCATGCCAGAAAGGGGAACGGGTGCTCCTGAGCCAGTACCTGGGGGAGTCCGGCGCCGAGTCTCTGCACCCTACGCTCCATCTCATCTGTACCCAGGTGGGTGGTGCCTCATCCCTTCCCCTTTGTGCTCTCTCGCATACCACTAGAGACTGTCGCCAGGACAAAACTTTTGAGCCTGTAGCTGAATAGTCACCTCCCTCCACTGTCGGCTCACTGGCGGGGGGCATGACCTCGTGAGGATGTGACCTATGGGGTGGGCCCGGGAGTGAGGAAAGGCCAAGCGGGGATAGTCGGCACTGAGGTAGCAGCTGTGTTTAGGAAAGGGGGTGGAGGGGGCGCTGAGGATCTCCCCCTCCTAGGCCCTGGGACATGAGTGGTCTGTCTCACCTTAGTTCCGGGGCCAGGTGAGCACCAGGTGGCTGGTGAGCACCAGGTGGTTACTCTGTGCAGGACTCCTCTCCTGCTTTCCCTGTGTTGCCATCAGGACACCGGGGGCGACCCAGTGGACACGCGTCCTGTCAGGGCTGCCCAGGCTGCTGGGGGAGGCAGTCTCCACGCCAGCTTTGTCCTCATTCTGAGAGCCGGCTGGGGCTCAGGAGGGGCCACCCTGGGGAACTTGTCCCCTCAGCTACTCGCCAGCCAGTGCGGCAGAACCCTCTCTCTTGCTTCTTCCTTCGCCCCAGTTCTCGCTCTACCTGGTGGACGAGCGCCTGCCCTTGGTGCCAATGCTGAAATGCAACCACGGCCTCCCCTCCGCTCCTCTGGTGGCCCAGATATTGCCTGCACCCTGGCCTGGCTGCCCACGGCCGCTGCTGCTGGGGGGCCAGGGTGGGCAGCTTCAGCTGCTGCACATCGCAGGTGAGTCTGGCGAGCTGGGCATGCAAGGGGACAGCAAACCTAGCCTGGACAGGGCCTCAGCTATCTGTTCTTCCCCTAGGAGACGGGGCCTCCACACCCCAGCTGGCCGGGCCCCCCCAGTCTCTCCCTTCCCAGAGCCATTCCCTCTCTGCTTTTCCCCTGCTGGAGCCCAAGAGTCATCGGCGACTCCAGGAGCGGCTGATGGCACCAACTATAGGTACATGGGGCGGGAAAGCAGGACTGGGACGTGGTATCCCCCAGACCTGGGGTCACTACTGTTCTCTTTTCCAGGTCTCACCGCCATCATCCCACCCTCTGCCTCCCCTCCAGTCCTGTCTCTCTTCCAACTCTCTGAAGCTGGAGATCTCTTCCACCAGCGCTTCCGCCTTCGGGATGACCCTGGCTCTCAGGGAGATCTGGGGCCCAACTCCAACATACCCCCAGCTTCCTGGAGCCCACAGGCCCTGGCCTTCTGCAGCCAGTGGTTGAAAGATCTGCTGGAAGTACCCATAGCTCCCCCTGTGTGGGTTGCACCCACCTTTTCACACCGCCAGCTGCTGAGCTGCAGGGAGCAGCAGGAAGTTGAGGGGAGAGTACCCGAGGGTCTGCGGGCCGCCATGGCTGCAGGTCGGCTCCTGCAGCAGAGTGATCTGGGCTCTCTCCCAACCTCAGAGCCACCCCCTGCCCCTGACTCCGGTCCTGAGGATGAGCTCAGTGAGCGTCTGGAGGCAGCCTGGGAAGGCCAGGTGGCTGCCTGGTGGCGGAGGCAGCAGGGTGGGAGTTTGGGGCCTGGCAAACAGCCCAAGAGGACCAAGCGCCGGACCCAGCTGTCCAGCACCTTCTCCTCACTCAGTGGCCGCTTGGACCTTTCTGACGCCATCAGCCCCCCTCACAGCCCAGACCAGGCGCCCCTTGAAACCGGGCCTCAGCCCCCACTGACTCCACCCTCTCAGGAATTCAGCCAGGAGCTTTGGGCCCAGGGTGTCCCCTCAGAGCGACAGCAGACCCTCCGGGACTATATGGCCAAGTTGCCACTCCAGGAGGACATCCGGGGGGATGCCTGTACACCCCCATCCCAGACCTCGAGTGTCGGGGGCCCTCCTAGGCATCAGATCCTCCAGGACTACACACCTCAGCCGCCACTCCAAAGAGACAGCCTGGAAGGTGCCTCCGTGCCTCTCTCCCAGACCTCCAGTATCCGGGCCACCCCCTCTGGGCGGCCGACCCCAGTCCCACCTGGCTCACAGACACGCCGGAAGAAGGCCCGAATGGGCTTCTGAGTGTCTGGCTGGCTGTTGCTCCACTTTGGAGACCCCCTGCTGCACCAGCCATGCCTGCTGCAGACCTTTCTCTGAAGGTCTCTCTGACTCTGGAAACATGTAGGAGCTTCTGGAGCCAGGCTGAGGAGTGGCCCAGCACAGCAGGGTAGTCCTTTCTCCCATGGAGAAGATGCCTCTGAAAGGCATGGTGGCTGGGCCCTAGCTGTCCTGGTCTCAAGTTGGTGTCAGACTGTGTTGAAAGCGGGGGCTCGAGTCAGGCTACAGGGTCACCATGGAGCCTTTGGGGTGTCATGGTGCCAGGGGCTTGATGGCAGTAGCTGCTGCTGCTTGTGTTTAAGGAATCGGACCAGGGTCTAATGTTTTGTAGAGCTGTTTTGAACTCACATTAAGGGATTAAATACACATCAGGTGAATGTAGTTTTGAATCACCAAGTTCCCAAGTCGGGATCCCTGAAGTAGCTAAGGCATGGCCACCGCCAGGGGCCTGTAACTACTCTGGTGGGGGGCAAGGGGGTGGTGATGCCCACTTGAGGGTGTCTGCGACCCCAGAGTCTAACTAGGTTTGTGCGTTTCTGAGGGTCCGTGATACAGGGTGGCTGTTCTCGGGCAGCTGGTGGAAACCCCACCTGAGCAGTGCGTACGCTAGAGAGTCCTGTGACACGACTCATGAAGACCTGGGGCTGTTTATGAAGCTCAGGGAGACAGCCGGCCCCGCTGCCTACGCGGGGAACGCGTGGCTGAGCCTGGAGCACAAGCTTGCGTGCTGCTGCCACTGCCCTGGAGGAGCACAGGCGTGGAGCCGTCGAGAGGGCCTGTGCCAGTGCTCGCTCCCTGTCTTGAGAGTCCGCGGGTGCAGGCCCACCTTGGGGTTCAGTCCAAGGCAAAGGCAGTGTCCTGGTGCTCTCCTCTGAGCTGTTCAGGGCACACCCCGCCCCTCTTGGCGCAGTTTCCTGAAAGGGGAGAGGGACGTGGGTCTTGAGTCAGCCGCTTGAGGAGACATTCAGAAAACCCACCAGTGCTGGGCAGGACTAGGAGGGTTCAGGTGCCTCAGGTCTGGCGTTGTGTGTACACAGATGGCTGCTGGACAGACCCCAGTTGTTTTGTTCTCAGCACCAGCCCACTTGGCCCACATGGGGCCTGATAATGCCAGACAGGCCCGCTGTGCGGGTTTGTCTGTATCTCCACCCCTTCCCCCCATGTGCTTTGGCCCCTGCCCATCTGGGGACCCCTGTCCCTGCCGGCACTGTCTCCATGTGCTTCCTCCTGATCTGTACCCGGAGAGCCCTCCTCTGGGCCTGCTGTTGCTGTTGCCTCATCCCACAATCCTAGCCATGGCATCACTGGCCCCCTTTCCTCTAGAGCCATGGTCCAGAAAGGCCACTGTTTGGGATAGAGAGGAGTGAAAATGTAGCTTGCTTTGTCCAGAACTTGTGAGTCAAGATGGCTCAGAGGTGCGTGGCCAGCAGTAGGCTGAGGTGTCAGCTTGAAGCTTCCCAGTGCATGCCCACATGAGATGCATAAGGTAGACAGCGGCCTCCTCTCACAAGCATGGTGAATGCCCCTCCAGGCACGTAGGGTTCTCAAGGCCCTATTGCTATCCCTCTGGTTTGGGTGGTTCAGGCAGTTTACTTGCCCACTTTCCAAGCTCCTGGCCCTGTGACCTTAAACAGAGTGGTCTTACCTGGAAGTGGGGGACTGTGCCCATCTTGGCAAGAAGCGGGGGTTGTAGCCTCCCCCTGGCACGGCTGGGGCAGTGGTGGGCCCAAAGGCTCATCAAGCTCCTGAATCAGCGGGCGTGGGTGCTTTGGGACTGAACTTGGGGGTTCCGAGTCCCTCTTTGCAGTTTCTTGAAATATGCCTGTGTAAGGAGCCCCCTCCTTCCTGGAGAGGTCCTTGGTGACTGCGAATATGTTTGAAAGGGTGTCTGCAGACCCACGCTCCAGCTCTGGGAGGGAGGTATAGTCCAGCTCAGAGTCACTGTCATCGCTCGGGCTCAAGATGGCTGTGATCTTGGGGGGGCACATCTAGAAAAATGAGGTAGGTGTGTTGGAACCTAGGATTTCACAGTGGTCATCGGAAATGCACGTGCTAACTCTGCTTTTTAATCTGTCAGAGTCTTGTCACATGGGAAAGGCCAGAATAAACCTCACCAGGCAGCTTTTCTGAGGCCCCAAAGTTGTGGTGGGCTCTGGCCATGTCTGCACTCCTCTACACTCCTTGGGGCCCTGCTTCCACCACCACCCACCGTCCCTTGCCCTTTGGCTGGTGTCATCTCACCAGGCTAGCGAGTGTGGCTTTGTTCAAAAACTGCAGCTTGGCCCCTTGGAAGTCCGATCCCTGGGAGCTGAGGTCTGTGTCCCTCCACCCGCCATGATGCGTGCCTGTCCCTCTAGCACACATGGCCTCTGTGAGGCCCAAGGTGGGGCAGGTCATCTGGGGAGAACTGTGGAGCCTTGAGCCTCCTAGACTCCACTCCCTTTCTCCCCACTGTGGTTCCCTTCCCCTGTCTGCGTGCCATGATGTGGCACAGACAATCCAGGAGGGGAGCAGAAATACATCCCAGGCCGAAGAGTCTGGGGGTTGTGCTCAGTGTGCTGTGCTGCTGACGTGCTGAACCATCAGACGCGAGCAGCAGCTCAGTCTCCAGTGACACATGGAGACCACGAACATGCAGTGGTGGGCCCATGCCTCACAAGGGCACTCCCTGTCCGGTCAGGGGTAAAAGACACCATCAGCAAAGAGACAATGCACGCATGGGGTGGGAGTGCGGACCTGGGCCTGGGCCTCCAGCGATGTGCCGGCATCCACCTCTTCCAAATCGGGCAGGTCCTGGAAGAGCAAAGGAGCACCATGGGGGTGGCCACCAAGCCTGCCCACCCGCCCGCCTGTGCCACCTTTGTTCCTGGATGCCAGGAAGGACCAGAGCCCTCAGGCTGCCAGGCACACGAGTACTGCTGGCTCCAGGTGCCATCAGGCCCAGGGTGACAAGGGGCGGCGCGCTTGGGCAGTTGCTGTGTCTTTCTCCTCTCTCGTTAGTGACCCAGCCGGTACCTCTTCCTGCACAGGCGAGTCCTAGGGTCTATGTGGCGCAGACCGATGTGTTCTGGATCTCCCCACCAGACACCACAGGGTCATAGTATTTTGTGGGTCTTGGTACCTTCACCTATAGCCAGCACTCAAGGCCGGCAGCGCTAGTTAGGGGAGATGGCCTAGCTGTATAGCTCTGAGCAAGCTACTCAACCTCTGTTCCTCCATTTCCTCCTCAACAAAATGGAGGCGATAAAATGTCCCCCTTAGGAGATTTTAGAAAGGCTAAGATACGTTTAAAGCAGCCAGGCAGGGGATAACAACCATTGTCAGCTGCTGGTGGCCTCTCCCTTGCAGATGGGGAAATGTTAGAGGTCAATCTCCAGTTCAGTGTTCACAGGCCTGGAAAGTAAGAGCCCTGCAGTGGACATTGACCACGCTGTTGGACTCTTCCCGAGTCACAGGAAATTGGGCAGTTAGAAGTGAGACCCCTTTCACAAGTTCAACATAAGGCACCAATTGTGCATGTTGGTTCAAACTCAAGGAGCCCTCTCGTGGACAGGGAGGCAGGGCCCCTCCTACAGAACAGTGAGCCCCAGCTGGGTGGGACCCCAGAGGTGGGGGTGAGCTGTGCACCTGGCACTGCAGCCCTCGGGGCTCAGGGCACTGATGGGGAGGGTCCCACGGAGCTCATGCCCATGTCTAGTGCACTGGGCACATCCCAGGGGGGAGAGCCTTTGAGGGGCCGCATCAGACACAGGGTGAGGCAGCGCCTCTGTGTCAGTCACATCTGGAAGCCTGGGCAGTGACAGGCCAAGAAAGTGGCCTGAGCCTTCCCTTGCCCAAGGGTGATGTTTCCTCTGGTGAAAAAACTTTGCTCAACTGCTCTGTTTAAAACTAGCTGTCAGTGCCTTCACAGCACAGCTTCTGTGGGGGAAGGGTTTTATAGACAGCTCAGCAGAAACTACTGAGGTCTGTGAGTATCTACCCTGAATGTGCATGTGCAAATCGGGTAGAAAGGTAGCCTAATAAAGTGCAGTGCCTGCTCGGGGCTGGGGAGCGGCCTGGGAGTCTGCATTCTGACCTCCTGTGATGCCAAGCCTGCCTTCCAAAGCCCAAAACTGAGTACAGAGGGTGTCAGGGTGTTTATCTGTGCACCTATCTTCTGCCAAATGGGAAGAGATACTTGTCTGCAAGTGTGACTGTTTCCATACATCGATGAAGAGCTTCTCTGGCCCCAGCTTCACAGCTTCCGTAGCCTCAGCTTCCTCCAGCTCTGCCCCTGATGCAGCCTCATTGGCCATGGTCTGGGGAGTCAATTCTAAGGAACAATAAGCAATACATCACCGGGGGATCGTCTCATACATGCTGCTCAAATGACAGGCCCAAGGTGTTTCAAAGATCAAAGGGACAAAGGTCTCCCTGGGTCTGAAGGGCTGGTTGGTCCCTGCTCCAAACGCTGTGAGGACCCCTAGTGGGACGGGAGCCATCTAAACAAGAAAGGCATGCCCAGGACAGGGCCAGTCCTCTTGCAACCTGGATGTGCTGCTGACAGACCACTACACACCCGGATTGACTTGGAGCAGGGCCAGGCAGCAGGCACTTCGGCAGGTTGCCCCCTGCCAGGAAGGGGAGCCCCCTCACTGCCTGTGCTTCTGTACTTCAGGCAGGGCCCCCGCCCCTCTCCTCACACCCCCAACCCTCCCTCCCATATGCATCGGGCTCCAATTAACTAATCTCAAGATGGTTTGGGGAATGTGGACTTGAGAAGGGTCTCCTTCCTTGAGGCCCCTCAGACTGTACCCCAGGGCTGTGTTCTGCCCTTTTCCTTCTGGCCTCATCAAGGGAGAGGCCATGCTCTGGCCAGCATCTGTGCCGCTGTCTGTTCCATTACCTTCCCAAGCAGCTCCGGGGGTGGCTGGATTCAGGCCCGCAGTAGGCAATGATCCCCCTGGCTCCTGGTCTCCCATCTCTCCATTGACCTCCGCAGATGGCTCACCTCCTCCATTCTGCTTCCCTGGGAACATCTCATCCTTCACCTTGAAGCTTTCATTGACAAACAGCTCTATTTTCTGCAGTGTTTCCCCATCCACACAGGGCTCTTCCTTCCCCTTTACGTGGGCATCTCTCTTCTCATCCTCATCTGGTGATGTCACCTGCCCTGAACAAGAGAAGTAAATGGTAAAAATACAACTATAGATATAGACATGATATATATCTAACAGTATGTGCACGCAGGTGTGGGTCAGTCCTGGAGACCCAGGAAGCCTGCAGTCACAGCCCAGCCTGGCCAGCTGAGTGGAACTCTGCGCCTGCCCCGTAGTATGTACCTTCCTTTCCACTTTCTTTCTGTCGTTTCCTCTCCTCGGCTCGCCGCTTAATCATCGCTAAAGCCTCGATGCTGTCTGTGATCTTCTTCCGCTCTCTGCTCTCCCACAGTTCTCTCTCCTCCTTCTCTGCTGCGTACCCTCCCCTGGCCCAGGCCTCTGCACAAGCTCTGTTTGGAAGGAGACAGTTGAGGAAGACTGAATTTTTTACAGGTTAAAATTCAAAACATGAACTGTCTTACAAACACATTCATTTCCCCCAGCAAATGAAAGGGCCTTCAGACTGACAGCAAATATAAAAGTGGACAACAGTACATTTTGATCTTTATTTACATGGGCTTCTAGTTATGATGCCTAAAGCAGAGACAACAACAGCAAAAAAAAAAAAAAAAAAAGGAATTCATCCAAGTTCAAAATGTTTGTAATGCAAGAATGCCATAGTAAAAGGACAACTTATAGAAGGGGAGGAGTCAAAATAACCTGGCACAGGGGTTAAAGCCTCAGCACTACAAAGCTGTCACCAGCCACTGCAGCGTAAGATCGATCCCCAGCCAGGGAGCTGACCCACGTGACACAGCAGACCTCTCCTGACCACCCACTGCTCTCTTCAGCAGTGTATTTCAGTCAGTTCACCTGTTCTGTATTTCAGAGCTCCCCACTCTGTCTCTGGTGAACCCTCCACACCTCTGGCCAATACCCCAGTTCTTGTATGCATGAATAAATAAAAAATACTGGGAAAAAAGGAGGGGGAAGAAGATATTTGCACATCATATGCCTGGCAAGAGACTTGTAGCTAGAATATATGAAACACATAACTCATGCATACAAAGAACACAATTTTTAAAAGGACAAAGGTTAAGAATAGACAAGCAGTATATTGGGAGAAAAACTTGTAAGATTAACTGCTCAATGACTTGAATTCGAAGTGCACAGAGAGCCATTTTAACACAAGAATTAAAAAACATACACAAAGCACATGAGAAGATTCTCCACATCCTGACACTGGGGAAATGGGGAAACAAAAACATTTCTAAAGTGCAGAACACCATTAACCAGGCTTGAGGAGGTGGAGTGACGGGAAGTCGTCCTAGTTGTGGGTGGGAATGCCAAGAGGTACTGCCGCTTGGACGGAGAGCTTAACACAAAACGAGCCTGGCCATGATAGCCCAGCAGTCATGCTCCTAAGTATTTTCCTGCATGAGCCGCAGATGTTCACACAATATATGAATATGTAAATATTCATAGCACCATGCAGAATAGTCAAAGTGGGGACGGCCCAAAGTGGCCGTCAACTCATGAATAAATAAAACGACCTGTTCAAATGGAGCATCATATGCAGGATTGTCATGAAGTACTGGGCTGTGCTGACATGTGTGGACCTTGCAGACATGCTGAATGAAAGAGGCCCCTCAGGAAGATGACCCAGGGCATGATTCTGTTTCTCTGAGACATCCAGACAGACAAAACCATAGAGGTGAGGCAGGTTCCATGGGATAAATGGCTACAAAGTGTCTAGAAGGTATATGTGCCTTTAATCAACCCACAATCCCTAATCCGGTAACACAGCTCCTGGAACTGCATGCCAAGGAAGTAATCATCAATGACGTCAAAGGCTTCCAGACAATATTTATCAAAGGATTTTGAAAAATAAGTGCTAAGTAATTGCTAAAAACAAAAAACAAAAAAAACCAACAACGGAATTTCCAGTTAGAGATGATTATGTAGCCGCTAGATTTCTATCTAGAGAATATTTAATGATGTGTGAAAGTGCTTAAAAATACTACGTATTAAGTGTTACCAGATATTGTCCCTTACCTGTCCTTGGGAAAGACTGGTCTGTCATCCAGGTACGTTAAGTGTTTTAGTCGAACAGTAACTGTGCGCCGGTAACTGGGGATGTGTTTGGTGACTGGGTTTCCCATCAGATTCAGTACCCGCTGGAAGCAAACAGGCAGAACCACACTGTAACTCTGAGAACCCTACACGACCAGACACTTCACATGTGCTGTGCTTTAAGAGTAAGTCGGTAAAAACAGCCAGTACCAGGTCCTATGGCCACAGCAGAGAAGCCAGAGGGAGCCCCTGTATCTGTGCCACCATAACTGTCCTGACTGAGCAGCTGCCCTTGTCCTTGAACTTCAGGTCTACCAATATTGGGAAACATTTCTGAGACCTTGTTCCAAATGTGATTACATTAGTTGTGCTTGCCCAATCTCTTTTACTGAAATTAATCTCAGTCTAATGGATTGTTTTCTTGCCTTCCCGGCCAGTTCACAGAGATACGGCCCACGGCATTGTTGAAGAGAGGAGCATGCCCTGACGCACAGCCAAGGCCTTTCTCACCAGCCTTCAGGTCTCTTGGATGCCAGCGTAGGACCAGAGTGGAGAGGACTCTGGTGGTGCCCAAGTGCCAGGCGCCCGACTGTGAATCCTGCTGCCTCCTCAAAGTGTAAAACTCAAGAAAATGGCTAGGGGACTTGTGGGGGAGCCATTTAAAATCAATCAAACTAATGAAATGCTTTTCATACCTAAAGTGGTAGTGGGAGAAAAGAATGCATTGTGACCTGGTTGGCTTAGAGTTTCCTAGTCTCTCACTCCGCCTTCACCATCTCCTTATCTTTTCAAGTGATTGATCCCATGGAGGTTGAGGCGGTTCCCAAAGGCCACAAGGATAGGCAGCTCCAGGGCTGACTACTTTTGTGGGGGCCTGAAATGTGTGCCCCAAAAGGCCTGCCTTGACACCCTAACCCCAGCATCTCAGAATGCAACTATATCCGATAGCAGCACTTTAAAGAGGCGGCACTGGCAGAGACGGCCATTTGCATGGCAGTTTGCAGAGGGAGAGGGCTCATGGAGCCCGCCCTGCTCACACCTGGATCTCCAATTTTCCCCTCAACGATCAAGTTAATTTCTGTCGTTGAAGCTCCCCAGTCTGTGGTAAAATTTGTTGTGGCAGCCCTAGCCAGAAACAGAGAAAAATATGTATTATCAGCATGTGCTGGTCCTTCCTGACAGGTGACGCACTCTGTAGATGCTGCTTTTTCTTTAAATTGGCTGGGTCTTCTCTTACCACGGCTCTAAGCATGAACAGTGAGCTCAAGAGTTTTGTGTGCTACCACTAATATTTTTTCTTTGTACAAATGAAACACAGACACACTGAACAAGCAAGAACACCAGCAAAGACACAAGAGTTGGTGAGCAGGAGCCACCAGCCAGCCGTGGGCCCATGGGAACATCCCAGAGGAAGATGGCAGCAAAGGGTAAATCATATCTAATTAGGGGTTGTGAGGTTGGTCTCATTTATCAGAAAACTAACACATGAAAAGAAAGAACCAGACAATTCTCCTGGCCTTTTTTGTATAAACTGTCCATCAGGACACCCCTCGCTCATGAGGGAAAGTTCTCCAGAGACGCATGCCAGCTAACACATGCAGAAAGAAGAAGGGAGCTGCAAAGTGGCCGTTGTCCAACTCCGAATGAGGGAACGCAGCTGAGCCCCTGGCCGTGGCTGCTGGCGGGTGGGGAGCTCTCTAGGGGCTGGACTCGATGAGCCCTGCCATCTATTTCACTGCAGCAGAGAGACAGGCAGCAGGACTTTCCGGGCCCCGTGATGCAATGCACCAGCACGCCACAAAGCCCACCTTGGAACCTGGCCCTGTGGGGCTCTGCTCCCTCGGCCTGTCACTGCAAGAAACGCTGCATACAGCGGGCATGTTCAGTGACGCCACGAGGGGGCAGTCAACCAGGTCCAGAAAGCGACTGACATTTCATTGGCGCCGGGTGAGGAACAACAAAGAAGGGGAATGCCTTCAGACCATAAGAGGCTTATGCAACAAATAATCCACATACCAAGTGTGGGCCTGGGGTAGATTTGAACAACCCAAACTGTCTTCACATTTGAGACAAACTAAACTTTGGGCTGGATGTGAAATAGCTGCAATATTTTAGATACAATAATAGCCTGGTGACTTTTTTTTTCTGAAGTCTTCGCGGAGACACAGATTGAAATATTTGTGGGTCAAATGGTGTGGCGTTTAAGATGGTCCACCTAAAACTGCAAAGAGGGAAAAGAGTGAAAGGAGGTGAAAAGAAAGGAAGGAGGGAAAGGGGCGAGAAAAGATCTGATATTTAGCACCAAGTAATAGAAGTTGTGTGTGTTACCAAATCAGGCATGCTCTCGAGAACACTCAGGATCTCTGGATCACTCAGCTTATTGTGGGAAAGGTCAAGGACGCAAAGCTTCAGGCACTCCTTCAGATGCTGTATGTCTTCCACAGTCTCGAGGTGGTTGTGGGCCATCTGAAGCGTGTTTAGGACTGGCAGGCAGGCTGGAGGAGGGGAGGTCAGCAGAAGTAAACAACACAGGTACCATGTCTGTCTGTCCTGTAAAGTAAGTTCTTGCAGCCTCCCCCAGGGGAGAGCAGCTAGAAGCATCTAGAAAGACCCCCGGTGCCTCACTCTTACCTAAGTTTTCAATGGTCTTGATGTAGTTGTTGCTGAGGTTAAGTGCATCCAGTTTCTGCAGAGGTTCTAGGTTCTCAATTTTATGAAGTAAATTCACTTGTAGGAAGAGGCAGCGCAGTTCGGTTTGGGCCTCCAGGTTCTCGATTTTCTGTATTCCGTTGCACTCCAGCCACAGGCAGCGAAGCCCCGTGTACTCCTCCAAATTCTCAATACGATCAAAGCCTGACTCAAAGGGAAGGGGTGTCATTAAGTTCCCCCCCACCGATATTCACATACACAGGTGGGGGGCAGGGCTTGCCCTTGTTCTTGTCTGCCTGCCTCAAGTCCCCCATTCCTTTCCCCTAGAAATGCCACTGTCACTCTTGTTGGAGGGCCCTCCCTTCCTGCTTCTGCCCCACGGCGCTGTGGGTGGCCACTCGGCCATACCGCAGCCCCAGCTAGCCAGGTGGGACCAATGGTGGTGGATCTTGAGGGGCCTTTTCCAATGGAAAAAGTGTTTTTTTCTGCTGGAATTGGCAACCTGCTCAGGGGGAGCCCTGCAGTGCAGTCACATGTTGCCTTCACGCACAGGAGTTGGTGATGGGAAGATGAGAATACACAAATGAACCAGCTGGAGGGAAGCATGGCCAAGGAGACAGTCTCATGAAGACCCACCATGAATGCCTGGATCCAGCTGTGCCTGAAGCTGTCACAAACAGTTTTTCAGTTTTATGAGCCATATTCAAGGCTAGGAAAACAAACATTTTTGTTTCCTTTAGTAACTCTTATCAATTATAATTCACGGTTTAGCTGTTACCCAAAACTTTTAAGAAAGTTATGTTGTCTGGAAAAGCATTTGCTTAAAAATTATAATATCAATGTGAACTGAACAGCGACTCGACCATGATTCTGCCTCTCCAGTGATCAAACTGCTTTCATTTTTTATCTCCTTCTAAATTTGTAAGCCTGAAGAATACCTATTCAGTGAAATCATAGAATACATTTAAATATAGGTATAATGTAGGTAGATTTGTAAAAATCTTGTTTTTTCATAAGAATGTTGATAGCATAAGAATTTTCAGTGTTGCTTCAAGATCTTTATACGGAGGCCAGCATCTCTAAAAGACAGGATATCCTATACTAATTCTCTCCATCTCTTTGAGGATAGAAGCAAAGAAAATGCTTCTGAATTCATTTTTTGGGGCCAGCATTGCCCAAATACCCAGACTGGACAGACATCATACGAAAAGAAAACCACAGACCATTATCTCTCATTAATATAAATGCAAGAACCGGCAACAAAATATTTAACAATGTCTACCACAGCCAAGTGGGTCTTGTCCCAAGTAGACAAGGCTGGTTCAAAATTCAAACCAATGTAATCCTCACTACAGCAGACTAAAGAAAAAATCACAGTTGTATTGATAATTGGAGAAAAGGCACTTGACAGAAATCTAACATTCATAAGTATCTGGTACTTACTAGGACTGAAGAGGCACTTTCTCAGCTTCAGGACTAGCAAGAGCTAATATCATACTTGATGGTGAGACACTGAAAGCTTTCCTACTTAGCTCAAAAAGAATTTGAAGATGTCCCTTCTTGCTATTATTTTCAATATCACACTGAGTCAGTAAGACAAGAAAAGGAAGTAAAAGGTAGATAGATTGGAATTAAAAAGTTTTTTTTGACAGATGATATTGTCTACATAGAAAATCAAAAGGAATTGACAAGAAAACTGGAACTAATGAGCAATTAGAACAAGGGTATAGGAGATAAAGTTATAAAAAAGTCTTTTTCCTACATGCTAGCAATGAACAAGTAGAACTTGAAATTCAAAATTAAGTACCATGTACATTTGCATTGTATTTAGGTCTACATATGACAAAATATATACAAACTCTGTGAGGAAAGCATAAAGCTGGTGTACAGGATCCAAGGGAAACTAATGGAGCACAGCCCATGGTCATGGGTAGGGAGACTCAATAACGTCATAGGTGTTAGTTCCTCCCAAATCGATCAATAGATTCAGTGCAGTCCCAGTCAATATCCCAAGAAGCGATTTTGTGGGGATCAACAAATTCAAAGTTTACGTAGAGAAACAAAGGACCAAGCATCATCAACACAATATTGGGGGACAAGAACAAAGTTGAGGGGTTGACCCAATTCAACTTCAAGGCCTACTACAAAGATGCAGTGACTGACGCAGTGTGGTGTTGGGGACAGATGCTTGGATCAGTGGAGTTGGCTGGAGTCCAGAGCGGACACCTGTAGAGTCTTGACAAAGACTCTTGACAAAAAAACAAAGGCAATTCAGTGGGACAAAATCTCTTCAACATGGTGCTGGACCATTGCCTATCCACATGCAAAAAAAAAAAAAGTAAAAGATGAGGATACCTTTTTGTCTTAAAGGTTACCACAGCACCACTGTGACATGTAAGCAAGCCCTTAATTTCATCAAATAGCTAGTCACTGCTCATAATTGTCCACTGTCTTTTTCCTCCATACTGTTTGCTGTTGGAATCAGCAAAGTGGCAACAAAAGTCCATGCATTGCAATTAATTGATGTCTGTTAGTCTTTTTAAACTGTATTCTTTGTCTCTCTCTTTTCACTGCAACATGTTGAAGTGACGGGATTGTTTCTCTCTCGACTGTGTCTTGGCCTTGTCCTCTCTCCAGCTTTCTTCCTGCTTCACCGTGGAAGGCTTTTTGCTCATTAACTCCTCAGATTCATTTCTTCTTTCTTGAGCCTGCTATGACTGTAGCCACCAGCTGAGGTGTCCAGTGGCATCCAATTTATCGTCCTCTGTACTGAATACAGATACCAGGCACTTGACCTTCTGGGTCATGTCCTCCTTCTTAAGTTTCCTCTTGGGGTTCCCTGGACCACTTAGCTTATTGTAGTGATCACTGTCTCCTGGTATCCATGCCCATGTGTTAATGATTCAGTAAGACCTGCCTTTATCTTGAGACCAACAGAATATGGCAGAAGTGATGGCTGTGTCACATCTGAGACTTTGGCTTCCGTCTCGGCCTCTCTTTCTCAGGTAACTTGCTTTAAGGGAGAAAGCCAGTTGCCCTGAGGAGCTTGTGTGAGGAACTGAGGTGTCTGGCCAACAACCAAAGAGGATTTGAGGCATAGAATCTAGAAGTGGATCTTCTCACCCACTGGCTCTAGATGACTGGGGCCCAGTCAACAGTTTGGCTGTCATACTTGACTCCCAGCAAAGTCATTTCCAGATTTCTGGCTCTCAGGAACAGTGGGAGTTCATGGCGTTATTTTGAGTTGTGAGAGTCTGTTAGGCAGCAGTGGACAGCACTTCTGTCTCCCAGCTCTTCTACCTCCCTATTTAGTTGAACCCACTGGGTCCTCTTCTTCCACACAGCTCCTAAATATTGGTCTCCTGGGGTGTACTTACCTAAGTCATTTTATTCAACACTACACCTAAATGTTGGATGGAGGGTGGAGGACAAAGTGGAAGCCAGGAAGCCAGTTAGGAGGGGTTCCAAGCCTTTAAGGTCTGTGCTGGGGAACCCTTCCTGTACCCCCTGGCCCAGCGCTCTGACCTAGGCCTCTTCGCCATAACCATCTCTATTTCCAGGACTAAGCACAGTGCCAGGCTCGGTCATCACTTCCTGGCTAAATGTGTAACAGGACTGAGGAAGCTGGCTGCCAGCCCAGTCAGCACACCGAGAACGAACACTCCTGTGTCGCTGCAAGGACTTGGAACTTAAACATGTGTGGGCTCTCAGAGATGCCAGTTTCACACCTTTGTGCCCTGAAAGGCCCCCAGTGTTCCACCCCTGCTGTTTCTGTGCCCACCTTTGAACCTCTATTCCTCCCATGCCCAAGGTGTTTCCAAGCCAGCCTTCTGTTTGGAAACATGGTTTGGAAAGCAGGAATAACAGATGCCAATGTATACATATAATCCCCTTTTATAAACTCATCAGGTGAGATATTCTTCAATGAAATACTGCTTTTCCATCAATGTTCAGGAAACTCTGAACATTGAACTTTCTACTTTAAATTTGAGAACTCCAGATAATCCTTGTAATTTTTAATACCATCTGTCTTTCTTCCTGACACAATCCTTACCTAAGTAGTTGATCCTCACCTTTAAAGTGTAAATACAGTGTATCATTCAGTGATGGAGTAATATAAAGCTTGTGCTGCTTGCAGAGTTTTTGCAGGAAACTTTTAGTCATTCTGTTAAATGAAAAAAATATGAACAAGAAATTTTAATTTCTATAGATTCCAAAAATTCCATACCACATATATTCTTCTCCAACTTTCATAACATCCTATATACCTAATAACTATTTTAAGTTGTTCTTTTTTTTTTGGTATAGCTTTCAGGACCTCACCCAATATTACTGTTTACAGCATTCTTAAAAGTTGCAATGTATGTTCTAATAAAAATAATTTTAATAGTGTCATCAAGAACTACTGATGGTTCTTTCTCTAGGACTGGCATTAAAGTTTAATAGCCTATGGGGCAGTGAGAGGAAGGTAAAAAGAAACAATTTAGGCCTTCCCTATTGGAGCAGTCTATTAAAGTGTAGCACTGCAGGCCAGCTGTAGCCCAGCTGCTTCCTGGTCCTGGAGGTGACCCACATGGCGCGGCAGACCTCTCCTGACTGCTCGCTGCTCCCCTCAGCAGTGTACTTCGTCAGTCGGCCTGCTCTGCTCCCCACTCTGTTTCTGGTGAGTCCTCTCACCACCCCTGTACCTCTGGCCTGTACCCCAGTTCTGTATGCATGAGTAAATAAATCTTAAAAAAAGTTTAACAGACTGTGGTTAGTGGTGCCATTGATGCTGTGCGGTCCTGACTCGTGACTAACTCTCACAGGGGCATACTGTTCACACTCCACGAGACTGTTTTCTTATCTGCACACAGGGGTGACTACAGGGCTACCTCACTTGCTCAGAGTACACTGACTGGCAGCAAGCAGCATGTGCACGGACCTGGGGCCCCGGTCTTCCTTGTCATCACGCTGGTGTGCCAAGCAGCCAGCTGGCCTGCTATCACCACCTTGCTTCTGCTCACTTTGATAGGATGTGTCAGAAGGGCCTGCTGATGGTGCTGTAGGATCAATTACTTCTGTAAAAGAAGAGATTTGTTCTGTAGAGATCAAGAAATATATATAAAATCCCTCCAGTTGCAACTTGGTTAATTAATTTCTGTTTTTAGTATGGGACACTGGCATCCCTTAACTGTATGAAACTTTTTGAGCTTTGATAAAGTCTATGGAAATTCCACTTCTGGGAAGATCCTTTCTAAAAGCTCTTGTGAGGCACACACAAAGATATGTGCAAGGATATTCAAGAATACCAAAAACTGGTATAACACCAATGTCTACTGTAAGTAGGAAGTTCTAATTGTATTGTTTCTGGATAATTATCGCTGCTGTGGACAGGGAGACCATAGCTTAGAGTCAAACAGACTTAAAGCTGGAGAGTTGCAGGGCTGCAATCTGAACCCAGTGGAAGGGGCTCAAGCCTTGATCTCCCACTGAGCAGCCCAGCAGCTTCCCTGCAGCACCTCATGCAGGCAGGCTTGGTGAGTCTGTGCTCAAGATATATTTGTTGACTGCGTTGGAAAAGGAAACACACACTAAGTAGTTTTGTTACCTACTTATGAACAGGTTTCCCTTAGGGACTGACACCAAGTGGAAGAAAGAGGCTGCAATGAACAAAATGCTGGGAAGCTTTGACGAGTTACCTGCTGATCCCAGAAGCATCAGCTCTGCATTCTCTCTGTAGATCACTGCAAACTCAAAGGGAACGTCCTACTGTGACATGGGTAGTGGAGGTGGAAAGAATTCCGTGGTGATAGCAATAAAGGGATAAATTCAGAACATTAAAAGCTGGGAGAATGTTATGTTGGGTAAAGGCCTGGGCCTGTCATGGCTGGGAGACTTCTGTTGACTGGCTGAAGGCAATGGTTGGGAGCAAGTTCTATAACCTCTTTAAGTCTGTTTCCTTTTCTGTGTGAAGGGAGGAGAGAGAAGTGCCTACCGCAAAGAGCAGGTGTATGGCTCAAATGCCATAAACACTTGGCATGCATGTGTGGGTGCCAATTGTCATTATTACTGGCTGTGAAGATCAGGTGTGGAGCAGGCTGTAGCGCCCAGAGAGCTCTGCCCGCCGCCCCCCTCGCCTCCCTGGAGCAATGGTCAGCACCTTCCTTGAGGTCCCCTGGGCCTGCGTTCCCGCGGTCACCCGCAGACTCTTCCATGTGCGGTTCTGGCACGCAGTCCTGCTCCACTCCCCCGTCGACCGCGGGCTCCTTGGCCTTGGGGTGCATATTTATTCCCGAAAACCCCCAAGCAGTGAGGAGTCGGGCTCTGTGGGGTCGTTAGGGCCCCCAACACCGCCAGAGACGCCCAGCTCTCCTTCTCTGCCAGCCACTCGCGTTCCGCGTCGTTCACAGCGTAACGCTTCCTAGGTCTCCACGACAACCGCCGCACACGCGCACTGGGCCGCCCCGTGCGTTCGGACGCCGGGGGCGGACCCTGGCGCGTGC